AACAAAGCAGCGTTTTGAAATTGGCCGTCACAAAACTGCCTTTATTAGATTTTTATAAGAGGCTTGCTTCATTTTTCCTGCTCAAAACCTACGCCCCTGAATCAGTCTGCCAGAGCTGTGGTTTCCTTCAGAAGGGGTTTCCCTGCCTAGCAAGAGGTTTCTAGCTGTCTTTGGAAATGCAGGGTGCTGGAGAAGAGAAGGGCATGGGTAACCTCCCTTTAACCCTGATTTTGTGGACAGATAACTCCGAGCATGACTCCTGCAGCCCTTCTCCGCTGCTCCTTTTCCCTCTGAAGACTAACACGGACCAAGCTGGTTGTGCTACGACCTGTCTGTGCAGCCTGCTGTCCTCAGACCCTGGTGAATGCTCTGTCCCCCCCCTCCACCACACTTCCAGCCCCCCGTGTGTGTCTTGTGCAAGCGTAGAAAAGCAGCCGGTTCCGTAAGGATCGCTGCTCTACGGGCTGGCCCTGTTTCTGCCCTTCTAGCCGAGCGAGTGTCTTCCTAAGACCCAGTCGCAGGGGAGAAGCAGCAATGCGGGGCAGCAGCCTCTTTAGCTCTTTGTCATCTTGCTAAGGAGCCCTGTGGCCCCAAGACCCCTCAAGTTCCTTCCCAAGGACGCTACCTCTACATCTTAATCCGGCTGCCAGCTCCTGGGTGACCGAGCTGTTATTTCTAGGCGTTGTCTAAATTGCAGCGGGTGCAAAATGCAGAGCGATGCTGGGGTGCGCGCTGGCCTCTCTGTCCCTCCTCGCAAAGGCCCTGCTGCCTTCAGCAATCTCTGAAGCTAAGCTGGTCCGGCAGCACTCTGCCAGTGCCCGGGATGGTGTCCCTGTGAGCAGTATTGTGATCCTGTAGTGCCCCGAGTCCCCAGCGCGCAGCTTTGCTTGATTTGACTTGATCCAGGTGCCCCAGCTGACATTAATTCTGCTCTTCCTTTCTTGTCTTTGCAGATGGAGACCTCACGGACACACTCAGCTGCCCACGCTCCACCGCCTCAGAGGCGAACGGCAGCAAGGCCCCCGTGAAGAGCCCGACGCAGCGCTACAACCCCTTCAACGAGGAGAAAGCCGACGCGCCGTCCTCCACCGAGACCACGCCGGTGCACGCAGCTTCCCAGGAGAAGGCAGAAGCCACCCCTGAAGGAACAGATCAGTCCGAGAGCTGCACAGAGCTAGAGGTCATCAGGTAGGGACAGAGCTGCCTGGCCTGTAAACACGCCCCGAGTGTCATCTGTCACCAGATGTTGATGATGTGCCAGCCCTTCTAGCCCAACGGAGAGAGCATCTGTGGTGTAGCCTTTCTACAATCATGAGAAAATGGTTTTATACCTCTGGACACCAGCTGATGCTCTGTAGGCATCAACAGAGCTGGTCCCTTGGGTCTGTAGAGCTACAGGCTGGCTCGACATAAACACCTTTGCCTGACCGTCTGTGTCGGAGAGCTCAGCGGAAGCCGTGAGCTTTTATTTGAAGTTTTCTCCAGCTGGTGGCAGGTTTGCAGCAACTCTGGGTCTCAGATCTTCTCTCCCGTCCTTCCTCTTGTTTGTCAATGAGCTGTGGCTAAACCTGTTGAGGGAGATGCCTCCGCAGACCTGCTGGCCTGTGTTTGACACTTGCAGAGGAGATCCCCAGGGGTCCCTCGGAGCCCTTAAACCCAGACAAAGAGCTCAAGGCTCTGTCTGCTCGCACCCAGGGTTGGGGGCACCCCAAAAGCAGCCCGGCAGGCCTGTGCTTTGTTCTCGCACCCTTTTTTTCCTGGGAGGAGCAGAGGAGCTGGGTTATGTCGCACCCCGCTCTCCTGCAGACACATGGGAAGAGGAGCACCGTGCTTGCTTCCCAAACAAGAGTGACCTGGCAGCCGTTTGGGTGCCATGGGAGGCCTGAACACTTCCGCAGCCGGCATCCCGGTGTGCCGTTCGGCTGGAGCAGGCTCCAGCCTGCGTCTCCCTCTTCTGGCAGGCGGGGACACAGCATTCCCACGTCCTCTTGAAACCTTCTCCCTTCCCAGCATCTTGCTCTCAGACAGGGATTTCTCCCATGTCACTTTAGCTCCGCATCCATTTGTGATCCCCTTTGCAGCCAAAGGAAGCCCAAGATGCTGCATCCAGCAGCCGATGACTCTTTTCTTTTTTGGATAGGTAGGAAACAGTGTCCATACCCTGCTTTTCTTGTGACAGCTGGCATGGAGACGGGGGCTCTATGTGGCCGCACATTGAGCGATGTTCTTGATACAAGGATTTCTCTGCAACAGGGAAAATTGCAAAGGAAGGTTGTTGGGAAAGGGTGGGACCCCCTCTCTGTATTGCAGAAGTCTAAGCAGGCACAGATGAGTGACATCTCTATTGGTCTCTCACCATGCAGGTTAGCCAAGAAGAAGAAAACGGGCAAGAAGAAGAAAGCGAAGCCTGAGGAGCCAATGAACACCCCTGCGCCCGTAGTGCCCGAGACCCAGCAGGCCAGCGGAGACAGCGGCATGAACGGGCTGAGTGACAGAGAAGACCCGCAGAGAGATGATGGTCCCGCTGCCCCGGCTGGTGAGCCAAGCCCAAGCGGGCAGGAAGAGGGTCGTGACCATTCTGCCCTCAGCCAGCTGGCTCTACGCATCCCCGAGATGAAGGACACGTCCATGGAGAGTGTGGGGCAGCCGCTGAGCAAGGTGATGGACAGGCTTAACGGGCAGCTGGACCCCGGTGGCTGGAATGCCCCCCTCGAGCCCCCCGGGCAGTCCTTTCGGACTGGCACGCCAGGGGAGACCCCGGATGGATCGTCCTCTGGCGACTTTAGTGAGGGAATTTCAGCCCCCATGGACTTCTACCGCTTTACCGTCGAGAGTCCAAACGCTGCTGCACCAGGTGGTGGCCACCATGACACTCCAGGGCCTGGCCAACCGCCACATGTTTCTGGTAGCCCTGAGGCTCCTGAAGAAGAAGAAAGGAGAGAGGGAGAAGCAGCTGGGGCAGTAGAGGAGTCTGGAGGGGCGAGTGACGAACCCCAAACTGGCCAGACAGAAACCGCCAACCCCCAGGCTCTCCACGAGCCGAAGAAGGAGCAGCCCAGCCCTTCCCCGAGCAGTGCCGAGGACTCTGGCGTGGAGGAAGGGCAGGGCAGCCCTTCGGAGCTGACCCATCCCTCCGAGTTCAGGTGAGGCTGGGTTTGCTCAGCAGGGAGAGCATCTTCCAAACAATCTTGAGCTCGAGCTGTCACTTTTCCCTGTGTCCTCGGTTTCGGGGGCAAAGCCCATCCTTTTCCAGGAGGAAGATGAGGCACAAGGGGTCAGGAGGAGAAGGTCTTGGGGGGCTAACAGCTGCCCAAATCATGGACAAGTTCAATAAGGAAGGGGATTGCCCTTCCTGGACTCACCCAGCCCCGCGTCTATGTCTATCCTCTCCTGTCTCTCTTCACAGGGTGGATAACAACCATCTCCTCCTGCTGATGATCCACGTCTTTCGGGAGAACGAGGAACAGTTGTTCAGGGTAAGGTGGTCAACATCGATCTCCCACAAATGACCGCCTCTGTGCCTGCATCGGTCGCGGGCTGAGCGCTCTTTCCTCTCCGCACAGATGATCCGAATGAGCACCGGGCACATGGAGGGGAACCTGCAGCTGATTTACGTCCTGCTGACAGATTGCTACGTGTACCTGATCCGGAAAGGTATCCCATCCCAACAGCCTCTGTGCTTCAGCTGCAGGGAGGGAGGCTGCTTGTCCATAAATTAGGGCACCATAGCTCACTACCTTCGCTGCCAGCTCCTGCCAGTTCTCTCGTGTCCCCCAGAGTCACAGTAGGGAGCTCAGGTTGACTTGTCACCCAAGAAGCCCTGGGACACGTGCCCCGCAGCTCCGTGCTGCCTGGGACACGGCTTGGTTTGCAGGTCTGTCACTGCTGCTGCGCAGCGGCCCGGATCCGGGCAGCGCTTGGGGTCCTTTGCCCCTCTTCACGTGGCTCTTTGTGTCTGTGCCAGGGGCAGCGGAGAAGCCGTACATGGTGGAGGAGGCCGTTTCCTATAATGAGCTGGACTACATTTCGGTGAGTGCAACCTGGGTCGGGTCAGCCCTCTTGGAGGGAGCGGGAGTGGGGGGGGTCGGTCCTCACTCCTCCGGCCGCAGGGGTGTCAGGAGTGTCACGGTGGGGTGTTTCTGTGAGGCGCTCTCTCCACGGGGAGCGTTTTGGCCAGTGAATCTTTGAGACTGGGGGAGTTAGAAGCGATCCCCCCTCAAATGCCACCTCTGCGGGTGCCCAGCTTGCTCGTATCTTCGCATGGGTAGCAGAGCGACCACTGACCTTCTCCCCCGAGGGCCAGAAGCCAGGTTCAGCCCTGCTTCACCACCCCTCGTCCCCCACCTGGCTTCCCTAACCGGTCATATGTGGCACAGGTTGGGCTGGATCAGCAGACGGTGACTCTGGTGTGCACCAATCGGAGGAAGCAGTTCCTGCTCGACACCGCGGACGTGGCTCTCACCGAGTAAGCAGGGACCGGGCGGCGGAACCGTGGCACTTTCCTCCCGGGGTGCAGGACCTCTGGCCAGCACCTTGGGCTCCCGGCGTGACTTGGGGAATGCAAGAGACTCCAGCGACAGCCCTTCACGACAAAGTCCTGCAACCAGAGGGGGTTTGGGGTTTGGTTTGATGCCACCGGCTGAACCCTGCAGGCACTGGGCGATGGAGACTGTGTGTCACTTGGGATGAATAGGGACGAGGTCTTGAGTTTCAAGGCACGTCCCCGGGTCTCTCTGCGTGTTGTCAGCTCAGGGAGGTGACCTCTTTAGGGCCTGGATGGTCATACTGGGATCTGTGTTGGGATGGGTGTCCATCTCCCAGTCTCGCCCATCTCTCCTTGAGCTCAGACTTTGCAACCCCCGTCGCCTTTGGTCTGTGAGGTTGATTTTGAGACCCTTTGGGCTGGAAGACCAGAGGCCCACGTTGAAGGGAAGCCCCTTCGGCGTGAGAGCGCGTGAGGGAGATGAGGGGCTGTTTGCCCTGGCCTCATCAGAGATCTCTGTCTCCCTCTCAGGTTCTTCCTGGTCTCCTTGAAGTCAGCCATGATCAAAGGGTGCCGGGAGCCCCCATACCCCAGTATCCTCACGGACGCCACCATGGAGAAACTGGCACTCGCAAAGTTCGTGGCCCAGGAGTCCAAGTGCGAGGTGAGTTTGGATATCACAGCCATCACTGCAGGTGGCGGAGGCTCGGGGAGACTCCCTCCCATTGACTTCCCCGCCTGATCCTCACAGGCCTGCGACGTGGTTGTGCGTTTCTACGGCCTCGTTCACTGGGAAGACCCCATGGACGAGGCGCTGGGACCCGCCAACAATAGCTACACCTCCGCCGAAAACGCGGTCACCAAGGACGGCATCCTGCACTACAAGGCGGGGACCTCCTACCTGGGCAAAGAGCAGTGGAAGACCTGCTTCGTGGTGCTCAGGTGGGCGCCGGGGCTGTGGGTCGGGAGGGGGGTCAGCCAGGGCTCGTCAGAGAAGGCGCTGGGACCAGATTGCTGCCCAGGAGCTGCTTGGGAGATGGAGAGGACCCATCTTGTCACCTGGGAGGCTAAAGCCACCAGTTGTGGCTGCCCAGCGGCAGGAACGCAACCCCACAGGACTGCGTGGGTGGAGAGCAGGGCAGGAGTGGCTGTGGGACCGAAGGCAGAGGTTGTTTGTGCAGTTGCCGGGGCCGAGCTGACTCCAGTTACCACCTCTCTCATCTTCCCAAACGGCAGCAATGGGATCTTGTACCAGTACCCGGACCGCACAGACGTCACCCCTCTGCTCTCCATCAACATGGGGTAAGCAGCTGGTAGGATGTAGCACCCAGATTCGGCGGGGATCTAGGGATCAGGAGCTCCTTGGGATGTTCAGGGAGGTGTTTCTGGGCAAATCATGATCTAGTCTGTGCCACGGGACTCCCTGCTTGCTCCTGGCTGAGTACAGATGCCCATTTGCTTTGGCTCCGGTGCGCGTAGGTGGAGATGGGCTCGTTTCCTCCTGGGTTTTGCATGCCAAGCCCACCCTTTGATGGGGAATTGGCCTCTGAGGGGCTGACATACCCCTCCAAGAGCCACGCTGGGCGACCTCCCCAAACCCACTGTGCTCAACTCCAGCTCTACCACGATGTGCAGAGACGGAGGGCATCCTTGGAGCAACCGCAGGGGATGTCACAAATGGGAAACGAATGCTTGTGGGGGAAAGGGGTGACGTGCCGCGCAGGGAGGGCAGACGGAGGCTGTTCTCAGGCTAGTGCTGGCCAGTCCGTCCCGCTGACCTCCATCCCTCCCCCCTCTCTCCCAGTGGCGAGCAGTGTGGGGGATGCCGGCGCTCCAACACCACCGACCGGCCCCACTCCTTCCAGGTGATCCTGACGGACCGGCCCTCCCTGGAGCTGAGTGCCGAGAACGAGGAAGATATGGCGGACTGGATGCAGTACTTCTGCCAGGCTGTCTCCAAAGGGGTGAGCCAGGGACAGGCCCCCAAGCGCGGGTGCATCGACCCCCCTTTTTCGCCCGGAGCCCCTTTGGGGCGCAGCCCAGCCGGCACGGAGCTGCCGACGGGAGCGGGGATGTCTGGCAGGGATGAAGCAGGCAGTTTTCTCCCGAGCCGGGAGGGCTTCCCCCCGAGGCACCCTGGGGAGATGAGGCTCCTTCATGCCAGACTTTAACCCCCCCCTTTCCCCACCCCGTGCAGGTGATCCCCCAAGGTGTTGCCCCTACGCCTTGCGTCCCCTGCTGCCTTGTGCTGACGGACGAGAAGGCTTTCACCTGCCACGAGGACTGCCAGACAAGCTTCTTCCGCTCGCTGGGCACCGTGGAGCTGACGGACATCACTGCCATCTCCACAGAGGCTGGCAAGGAGTACTGTATCTTGGTGAGCATGGCGCTTCGGGGCCGGACAGCCCGGGGCTGGGCAGGGACCGCGGTGGTAACGCCCGGCCTCTCTCTTGATGTTTAGGAGTTTGCTCAGGACCGCAAGCAGTTCCTGCCCCCCTGGGTCCTCTATTTTAGTTGCACTACAGAACTGGAGAGGTTCCTCTCGGCGCTGAACGCCACGTGGAGGAACATCTACCAGGTGAGCGTGCCAGGCTGCGTCACACCCTTCCTCCGGCGAGGAAGGGCGAACAGGGCCAGCGCTCTCCGAGGAAGGAGCGGGTGATTTTTTTCCCTGCAGGGTGAACCCAGCTTTCCCACCAAGGGCAGGAAAGCCACGGAGCTCCTCCGTGTCCATATAACTGTGGGATGTGGGATTCAGAGCTTGAGTGCCCTGGCAAGGAGGGCCGTGAGCATCCAGGGCTGGCAAGGGGAGTGGGGAGGAACCTGGGTCAGCCCCGTGCCCCTCTGTCACCTGTATTGATGACACAGGCGACTTTTCCCGTCTGTTTTTGAGGTGGTTTTACAACAAGGGGGAGAAGTGGCTGTCGTTCCTTCCCCCTCCTACTGCCCCACACGTGTGTTTCAGGTCGGCCTCCTGCACAAGGCCATTCTGGA